TTTTAGTGAGTGAAGTAACCCACACCTAGAAAGGCAAATGCTGAATGTGTGGATCCCAGCACTGAGTCTTTAGACTTTTCTTTGTTAAACTTGGAGAATCCAGGAAATTAGAAAGGACCTATTAGTGAGACTGGGAGGAGAAACATCTTGAGGGAAGGGGTTAGCAGAACACAGGCGATATGAAGGTGAGGTGGGGGAAAAGTGGAAAGAGGGATAGGAGGGTAGGGTAGGGTAGAAGAGGTAATAGGGGGAGGAATAGCTAACACTAAAGATATTTGAAAAAGCCATGTGGACGTGTGTGTGTGTGTGTGTGTGTGTGTGTGTGTGTGTGTGTGTAGGAGGAGAGAGAGAGCAAGTGAGTTTCATTGATCTTACCCTATTACATGGGAGTGACAGGTGTGTGGGGGGGGGAATCGTGCTATTTCCAGAAGCTGCAAGTTGAATTGACATTTTAAAAACAATGATGTATTAAAGACCCTCCTAGATTTTTGTTAATGTGAAGACTCTAGCAGTTTTTGTTGCATTTTTTTTTGTTTTTATGAGACAGGGTTTCTCTGTCTTGTTTTTGAGGCTGTCGGTCCAGCCCAGCCTCGAACTCACAGAGATCTGCCTGCCTCTGCCTCCCGAGTGCTGGGATTAAATTTGTTGCATATTCTTAAAAGGAAGGCCCTTAAGCTTTAAAACTATTTGTGAATAAATATCAGGTAGTTTTTTTCTTAGTTCAGAAGCAAACAAGTATGACCAATTGAGTCCAAATGTATTTATGATTTCCTTCTTAGTTTTTCTATCAAACAGGAAGAAATTAAAAGTATATTCAGAAAAATTAAGGTATAAACAGGTTAAATTTACAATTTGAAAAACAAACTCAAGAAAACTACTGGGAGCATTCTTAAGTAGCTTACCTTCTTCTCTAAGAGTGTTTTTATAGATGCAGTGTAGAAACACTGTCAAAGGCAAGGTGAAGTCCTTAGTGTTCAAATGAAACCCTACCTGTGGCGAGGCGGCCACTTGATACAGAGGCGAACAGACAAGGGCAAAGCACTGAAATGATTGAATACATTAGTCAGCTAATTTGAGCAGACACTCTTGTCTACAATCAATTATCCTGCAGCCCAAATGTGTCCTTCCAATTATACAACATTTAAGTTTGATCCACTGGAGGGAAATGTGTTTCTTTTTACAACCAAAACTCAAGCCCAAATGGAAAGAATTATTTTCAGTCATTGGGGAATCCAACACAAATGAAGGAATGATTTCCTCTTTTCCGTCCTTTACACTCAGGCTCCTCCAGTACAGGATGCCCAGTCAGTTCATGTTATTGTAGCATGTCCCACCTGTCACAGTAGGCTGACCATTTTTATTCACTTTAATGAACGAGTAAGTAAAACCAAATTGAATCTGTTGTTTTTCGTTATTCATAATTAACTTCTTTAAAAAATGTGTTTGAATGTTTTGCCTGCATGTGTGTAAGTGTTTTTCAAGTATTTCCAGTGCCCGTGGAGGCCAGAAGAGGCCACTGGATCTATCCTGCATTGCACTGATCTTTTAATGACCACATTAAGCAAATTCTCTCATGTGGCTGTCTCAGGATTCAGTCTGTGTCTGATTCTTGTGGCCAAAGCCCAGGATGTAAACCTGTTGAAAAATAACGAGGATGGAGACACTAAGTTAGGGTTGTGTTACAGTCAGTTTGCAGTGGTATTCACACTGTCAAGATCTTCCAGATCAAGTCTCTTCAGTGCTATAAGCTGCTAACTGTGTACTCTTTGAACATTTGAAAAGATTGGCATTGCTTTCTTGGAGAAAACTGACACTTTCCTTGAGGTAGCTCCTAAATCATCTGTTGCAAAGGGAAGTGAGCACTCCCTTATAAAGTTGGAACTGTGCACACTGTTAAGTCCAAGCCGATGTCTGCGTTTTCATTGGTATCTTTCTTCCTTCTCAATATGTGTTTTATATTTTATTGCTTACTTTCTAGTATGGCAGGTTTAAGAATTGTGTTTTGGGCATTCCACAATTCCTAAGATATTGGTGAGAGTGTGGGTTGTGTTGTCTTACTTAAAAGAACCAGCTTCTGTTTGATAACCTACTGGAGAAGCGCTTTGATTTAGCTGAGACTCGTTTTGAATGTTTACAGTTGTTTTTTTAATTGAATAGGGCTCAACTAGAGTAATACTTATTCAAGAGCTAGATGATACATTTAAAAATACATATTTATGTTGTCTTTATATTAAACACAGGGTTTCTGTATCCATGGGAGATGGCTATTTACCTGCATTATATCCCATGTTCTGTTTTGGCCCTTGGGGCTATGTGATAAAGGCATATGCCACCTACATGTATGGGGAGGGACTTCAACACATGGCAAGACTATAAATCATTAATCTCATAATTTATATAGGAGCTGTTTACACATTTGAACTTTCCTCCAGAAAAGAAAAAGAGATAGTGGAGAGGGAAGAGGGGAGCGAGAGGCCACCAACCTTATTTCCCTAACGTGTATTCTGAGGTGAACAGAAGTATCTTAGCCAATTAGCCTTTGGAATGTAAGCAAATGCCTCCAGATTTTATTTCTGTTTAAACACATAGCTCTGGGAAGTCAATTTCTAGATAATTCTCAACATCTCTATTTAAAGCCTCTACCATAGAGAAACATGAAATAGTCATCTTCTACAGTCACCTTATACTTGAGGGGAGGCTTTTGGGGGGAGGTGCCCCATTGGATAATCTGGATATTTAGTGAAGTTTCTTCACTCTGCCTAGAATGCTGTTGTCTCCTAACTCTGGCTGGCCTCCAGATGCTCTTGATCGCACCATCCCCCAACAGTTGCATTTTGCTAGGTGTCCTGGCATCAGCTCGGCATTGACATCCTAATATTCAGGCAGCTTCTCAGAGGCCCCTCTACAGGATCTGGGTCTGCTTCTCTGAATGCAGACTCTTCTTCTGTTGTAGAATACTCTTTTAGTACGCTGTGAAGATGTATCTTTGCCAACGTGCCTTCTGATTGGTTTAATAAAAGAGCTGACTGGCCACTAGCTAGGCAGGAAGAAATTAGGTGGGAGAGCCAAACTGAGAGAATGCTGGGAAGAAGAAGTGCAGAGTCATGGGAAACTGAAAAGTCTGGAGGAGAGGCCATGAGACACAGAGTGAGCAGGATGGAAAGTACGTACATGAGTAAGCGAGGCTCAAGGCAGCACATAGATTAATAGAAATGGGTTAATTTTAGTTAAAAGAGCTAGCTAAAAAATGAGCCTAAGCTATTGACAGAACATTTATAATTAATATTAAGTTACTGTGTGGTTACTTGGGGGGTGGCTGGCAGGACAGTAAAGTCCACCCATATCTTCACTACCCACCACCCACGTCCCAGCACTCCCAGGAGACCCACACTCTGCTTTGTGTTTCATCTCCCTAAGGATCCACTCTCTATTTGGATCCACTGCCAAGTGCACCCTGTGTTCTGGAAAGTGTTTCTAGGCAGAAACCAAGGTGGATGTGACTGTTGTGTGTTTTTCTCTCTCTCAAGGGAGCACAGCCCCTATGCCATGTCTTATTTGTCACTTGGATTCTGTTTTTCCTGTTTTACAGCAGTTTGTTTAGTGACAAAAAAGTCTGGTATCATTGTGGCTAAAACTGCAAGTTCTGTCTACCAGGTTTTCAAACTGTTGATCATAGGTCAACTTCTGCCTTTGTCTGTACTTAGAGGCCACAAATTCCTTATAAACCAGTAAAATGATCCATTACCTAGGAGCTAATGATACACTCTAATCTTCAAGTGAAAGATTAGCTTTGCTGTGTAAACTCTTTCTTATAACTGACACGAACACTGCCCAGGTGTCATGTAGAGTCCAGATGGCCCAGCACTTGTGTCTTTGTTATCCTTTCTCCCTGTAGAAGCTTATCCTGGTCTTCATTGACAGGTCATAGGAACTAAGCAAGCTGCCTCTGAAAGTGCAAGATATGCGGTTCTGAAATAGAGTGTGCTTCCCTTGTTGTGATGGAAACTTAAACACTGTGCCGTGTTAGATTATGGAGGAACAAACTTCACAGTGTCTTTCCATGGTTACTGACCTGGTGTTTGATAATCATAACCTTTAACTTCTCTCTAAGTTTTGACTTAATTGAAGAGATGCAGGAATCAGACAAATGGAATTCAAAATAGCAGAATGTAATTTTGACATCCACAATCAGGATGGGGTCTCTTTACTGAGCCCTGGCATATCCTGTCTTTGTAGACTAGACTGACCTGGAACTCACAGCCTGTCTCTCCCTCTGGAGTGCTGTGATTAAAGGTATGTGCCTCTACACCTGGCTTTTAAGTGGTTTTTCTTTTTTTCTTTTTCTTTTTTTCGAGACAGGGTTTCTATGTGTTGCTTTGGAGGATGTCCTGGAACAAACTCTGTAGACCAGGCTGGGTAAAAAGCTCACAGAGATCTGCCTACCTCTGCCTCCCGAGTGCTGGGATTAAAGGCACCACGAATACCAACTTTAAGTTTTTAGTGTGTGTGTGTTTGTGTGTGTGTGTGTGTGTGTGTGTGTGATCTATGTGAGTGCAGGTACATATGGGAGGGGGCTTGCATGAAAAGGCTATAAAAGGACTTCAGACCCTTAAAAGCTTGAGTTACAGGCATTTGTGGGAAGCCTGACTTGCTACCTGGGTGCTAGGATTGGAATTTCAGTTCCCGTAAATATTCAGAAAGCACTCCCAACTGCCATATCATCTCTCCAGTCACCCTAGTCAGCCTTCACAATATATCTTTCCAAATAGAGTTTTGCTCACACCATTGCTGGCAGAGGAATTGGAAAGTTGGAGCCATTTTTCGGGGAGGGGCAGAGCTACAAATCTGGTACCCGTGGTTCAGAAAGACAAAGAGAACTGAGGATTCTTCTGCATGCAGAGTAGCCCCTTCAGTCTTTCCAGTCAGATAGATCACATTTGCCTCTTTGGGGGGGGGGTATTTTTTTATTTTGAAAGAAGGGTATATCTGTCATCTTTCCATTGTTGTGACAAAATATCAGAGAAATCAAAGGAGGGCAGGTTTATTTTGATTCATGGTTTCTAGAGTTCCAGTCTGGGGTCTTTTGGTCCAGTTGCTGTTAAGATGCAGGAGCTCAGCCGGGCGGTAGTGGCGCACGCCTTTAATCCCAGCACTTGGGAGGCAGAGGCAGGCGGATCTCTGTGAGTTCGAGGCCGGGCTGGACCGACAGCCTCCAAAACAATACAGAGAGACCCTGTTTCGTAAAAACAAAACAAAACAAAACAAAACAAAAAAGATGCAGGAGCTCAGCACATCATGGCAGAGATGCCTGGTGGAAGAACTCTCATACGCTCTTAGCAGCTTGGAAGGAGAGGGGAAGGTGCAGAGACATGAGCTGGGAACAAAATATGCCCTTTGAGGGCACATTCCTAAGGGCTACTTCTCCAAATAGTTCCAGCCTTCTAAAGTGTCCTCCACTCTTCCAGTATTCATGCTTGAGATTAAGCCTGGATACAGGGCCCAGTTTAATCTGGTCCCCTGGTCCTGTTGGTGGAAGAGAAGGCCAATTATCTCATGATTTTTCTTATGTGCCTGTTAACTGATTACATAATACTTTTGACAAATGTCTTTTTCATAAAACTTCTCACTTAATGGCTTACAGATAAATTGGCAGTGTCTGTTGTAGACCTTCAAGCCACAGACTGTCATTCTAAATTCTCTGCAAGATTTCATGGGCAGCACAAAATGAATCTGCTATAAAGACAAGGTTTTTCTTCTGTGACTGGGAGTCTTGCTGATTTAAACATCAGGGTGTTGGCCTTTTATTCTCTTAAACAAGCACAATGGGCTTAAGTGTGCTCCCAGTGTCTCACATGGGGTAAGTCTGGGGAACCTTAAGGATACAGAGGAAGTTCACCTTTGCCCAGTGCTGTGGCCTGGTACCCTCTACCCTCTGTCACTACATCCTTTCCCAGCTCAGTACAGTCTCTACCTCACCGCTTTCCTTAAGGAACTCACTTTTTGTTGTTGTTGTTTTGTTTTTCCAGGCAGTTGTTGATAGAAATTTCATGCACATGCCTTTTCGTAAAACACCAGAGATGACATGTTGAGTTGGCAGAGATTGCATGTTTGGCTTTTGTTTCCTGTGACTGTATGATCAAGTCTCAGAGAACACATCAAACCCCAAGTGGCAGACATGAATGCTGCAGGTTGTAGGAGAGCGGGCACTGAGTGTACCAGTCTGTCCCTTCACTGCTCTGCCAGGAAGAGCATTGCATCCTTGCAAACTCTAGCAGGAAGTTTCTGAGGAATCGAATGTTCAAGGTCTCTGTGTTGTAATTTAAGAAAAGTGGCAGAAGAAACATGCCATGTGATAGGGTTCAAGCAGGGGAGGTTTATTGGGGAAAGGGGTCATAAAAAGGGGGAAAGGGAGGAGGGAAACTGACCTCCAGGGACAGGAGCAGAAGGAGAGAGAGAGAGGGAAGGAGGGGGAGAGAGAAACAGAGGGAGAGAAAGAGAGGGAAGAATGGGAGGTGGGCAGGGCTCTTTTTTTAAAAGGGAATGTAGTGAATAGGCACAGGTAGTGCTCTTAGTGGCTGCAGCTGGAGAGCATATCCTGTCAGAATCCCAAGGACAGACCAGTACAGATGCCTGAATACTAACACTGCACCAGCAGCATTCACCTGAAGTGCAGATCGCCAAGCCCCATCCTAGGTCTGGATCACAGCACCATTTTCTGGAGATCCTGGTGACTCAAGTGCACATTTGGGAGGTATCACTGCAGAGGGTTTTAATTGTCTTGTTAAGAGAAGCTTTTTCTTTGCTAGCCGCTTTGGTATATCCCCCGCCAGCCGCCTGGGCTCTGCCGCATTGTAGTCCCCAAATAAACACACAAGACGCTGTATTAATTATGAAGCTGTTGGCCTTGCTTGTTTCTTACTGGCTAGCTCTGACTTAAGTAATTACCCCATAATTGTTAATCTAAGTATGTCTCTTACCGGAGAATAGTTCCAGGATCCTACCCCATGGCGTTACATCTTGAACTCTCCTGTGTTTCCCCTTCCCAGAATCCTCCTGGACTCCTAGCCCCACCTATCTAGATTCCTATTGGCCAGATAGTACTTTATTGACATATACACAGGACTTCCCCAACATTGTCTTTAATTAGGTCAGGTACCAGTTGGAAGTAGTCACCCTGGCCAAGGATGTACGGGTGGCACAAAGCACTCAGTCCTGTACCTAAAGGGCGGAGTCAGCTTGTGGAAGGGTTTACTGCAGGGAAGAATTCTGCTAGCAGAGGAGAATTCTGATAACAGTAGATACTCTTGTGAGCACGTATCTTCACTCTTTTTGCACACATTGATGACAGAGCCTTCTATTCGCTAGCACTATGGATTCACCTGAGTGTGGTGTGTGTCTGTGCCATGGTCTCCTCCCCCACTGCACGATGCTCTACTTCTGTCTTTCACCTCGAAAAGCCATCTGTCTGCATGACCTAGATAGGAAAGACTCCTGCTTCCTCCTCCTCCTCTGTTCTCCAATGACTATTAGCAAGCTAAGCATGGGCACCCATGCTTCTCTGCTCAGGTACCACTCCATTCACTATGCTCTTGGGAGAGTTGGGGAGTCTATTTTCCTTATTTTCCTCACCCACTGTACTCCATTCTTGTCGATAGAGTACTATGTGGATTTCTGCCTTTTACAGCTTTGAACCTGTGTGTGTGTGTGTGTGTGTGTGAGAGAGAGAGAGAGAGAGAGAGAGAGAGAGAGAGAGAGAGAGAGAGAGAGAGAGAGAGAGAATAGTACCTATAAGATGGAGCTGGAATTACCAGTTGTGAACTTTCCAGTATAGGTGACCACTGTCATTTGTAAGAGCAACAAATAATTTAAATGCCTGAGTCATTTCTCTAGGCCCTATTCTAGGGTTTTAAGACTGTATAGATTTTGATAGTCCAGTTATTTGAAGTCTTACCAGTCTGACTGTGCCACCTGTTTTTTTTTTTATTTTAAACAGGTCTTCAGGAAGCTTAATTTCTTTACATGATTGAGCTTTTTTGTTGTTGTGGGCATTTGTGACTGTTCCTTAGTATATACTTTTTGGGGTTCTTGAATCTAATCTGTTGTCAAATTCCTATAGTCAAAGCAGACTTGGGTGTTTTAAGAAAGTTTCTCCTCTTGGAATATTTTAGATTTGTTCAATTCAGATTCATACTTCAAACTGTTGTTTGTGTTTTTAAAAATTATCAAGAAATACCTCACTCCCTTCCTAATGGGGCTAAGTGTTGAGCTGGGCAGTGTCTCCAGGGAAGTACAATGTCAAGTTAGGGATCTGTCTACTATTCCACAGCATCAAGAGCCTGCAAGCCAAACCAAAGATCACTGGGATCAGGTCAGCAAATCCCCATTTCAGTTGTTTATTTTGTTCTGCCTTTGTTTGCCTCTGCATTTCTGCCCCTCCTGTCCTCTTTTGTCCTTCTCTCCTATCCTCTTCTTGCCTCTCTTTCTCGTCTCTCTCTTATCCCCCTCACTTCCCTATATTTCCACTAAGCTCTAGTGATTATACATATTTTATGGATCTTTCTGGTGATTTCATGTTTGTTGTATGAATGTGTGCGTGTCTGAGTATATTGTGAGAATATGTGTATGAGCATGGGGATGTGTGTGGTTGTGAATGTGAGTGCGTGAGAGAGGGTGTGAGTATGTAAGTGTGTATGCGAGTGTTTGGGCGGGAGCTGCTGGAGCTGGCATCAAGGACAGTGTCTGCCGGGAAGTATAGTCACTTTCCCCTGCTGGAGTCTTTTTGGTTGTGTTTGAGTTGCAGATGTGGATCAGCTAGCTCTCCCAGTCTTTCAGATCTCTGAAGTGTGTGGCATAGCTACCACACTCACTGGGTGTACAGCTTTCCATCATACACACAAACACACTTTATACTTGACTTCGTTGATGATAGCATTTAGTTCTGTGTGTGGCACCACCCGCTCTTTCAACAGATGATCATTAGACCAATCCCAAAGGAGTGCTGAAGAGGTAGGGCTGTGAAGACTTATGCTAAGTGTAATTGAGATTCTTTGTCAGCTCACATTTTCATTCACCCTTAGTTTAGACAGTATTACTTTAAAATTACACACAGCAATAAGAAACAAATCATAGGTCCTACAGTCTAGTTGTAGGTAGTAAATAAGAATGCAGATAGAACCCACCTATCATGTGATAAAGACATCCCACTTTTCTTTGATTCTAGGCACACTGTTTACATTTCTTTCAGTGTATCTATCTGATTAGTAATATACATCAGGTCATAATAATTATCGAATAGTATATGACCTTTTAAATAATTCTAAGAATAGGATGAGAAAATTAATTTATCATTTTTTTAATTGGGAGGCAGTTCTTTGGAATAATTAGACTTCGTCCTATTGTTTCGTCCAGTCCTACAACTATGTGTTTCTTATAAAGTCATCTCAAATTTTTCTGAATCATCTTTTTGAGAAATAATTTACATGTAATAAAATATACTTATTTGAAGCATAGTCTAATCAATTTTGGCAGCATCTGTACTCTGTAATCACAACTGTAGTATGTCACTTGAGAGAGAAGCCTAGATGTTATTCAGCATTCTCTCTTTATCACATCCAGATGATTACAAAACCCATTTCACAACCCAGCCTTCCCTCTGCTCTTTACTCCCAGAAAGACTACCATAGTTTTTAACGTGTTAGTCTTTGACAACTTTTCACTTCCTACTGCCATGTAATTTACAACCAGCTTTATACTCATAATCTTTCTCTTTTTTGTGTTCACTACACAATGTTACTAAATTGTGATTTTCCTGAACTACAGTTCGGTCTCATTACCACCACCATCCACCATCCCTGCCTCCATCCCCCACCCTCCAACTCTCAACTCTCTCCCCCAACCACTTCATGTCTAAAGTCCCCCCATGACTCCCCTCAGTTCCTGTCCTCAGTCACTGGTTTTGGGGAAGGGCATTGGTACAGAGTGGCAGCTGTTTATTCAAATCTACTTATAAAGCTGTCATTAGATTTAAATTTGCAAGCTTCCATCTCCCCCTGTCTTAAGTGCCTTTCTGTAATTATCCCAATGTGTCTCAAATGCCTTGACACACATTCAGATTGTGAACTCATCTTAGAGATCAGTGAAGATCAACTCTGAGGTGAAACCACATCAGACGTTTTAACTTTGAATCTGATCAAAGCATGAAGAACTGTCTGACAACAAAGAATGAGGAAAAGTCTACTGTACCTGTCGCATGGTTGTTTTTTGTGTCACGCTATTCTGTACCTTCTTTTCTTCATAAACGGGTGCAATTTCCAACATAAAATTTGAAAAATTATGTACTTTTCTGCATTAGTGTTTGTATTAGTTGAGTCTCGATGAACTCTGGTGTAAATGAATTCCCAGATTTTTTTTCAGGAGTAGTGTTTATAAAGTGATTATTCCCATCTTTAAAATAATCAAAATCTCAGTGTGTGGTTTTCTATATATCCAAGGATGATTTCCACATCTTATATGTAAGGGCCAATACCAGAGTTCTGGTATAATACTAGAGGACAAAGCTTGAAGGTTTACACAGTCTGTTAAGAACTGTTTTGTACAGTTAAGCTGAGTTGGCTGTGACACCATGATTTCATTATCCAACAGTTCATTGCTTGTGGGGAGGCCATGAGCCTCTGCTTTTATTCCCAGAGCTTGACAAGGGAGGAAGGAATGTGCTTGACAGATGAGGCATAGTGACCACACAGGAAGTTTCTATGTCACTTAAAACCCAACAGTTACAGTCTAGGTGCCGGAGATACAAAGTCCAATTAAGTTGAGGAGTGCGTTTTCTATGGCATGCCCTTATGGGGTTTGTTTAACCAGCACAGACAGGATCCATGATGGCTCACAGGCTCCTCTGCACTCACAAGTGGAGCTGGTGCTGGCTGGGAGAACAGTTTACAGCCATAGGCTGGTCTTCAGTATGTCTGTGGGGATGGCAGACTGAAGCGTATTTTGGAGTCTAGTAATTGAAGGCAGCCATTTACCCATGATCAAATTAGGTACAATGTCACATTTTCATGCAGAGTGAACTATGATGTCTGTAGAATCATTTCAAAGCTGCATTATGGAAACTTACTCTGAAACCACAGCTCTTTACACAGCAGGTCAGAGGTAAAAGAATAGACACATTTATCAATGAAACAAGTACTAGAATTTTCTACTCCAGTAGGTCACCTAGCCCCTCCACACCACAGAGATTACCTCATACATAATATTGGTCATTTCATCAAGAAAATAGTTTCGTGGGTGTAGTTTTAAGAATTCTAGTGCCTCTATACATATAAACTGGAGTAGAAATTTCCAGTAAGTAGGTAGTGAGTAGTATGAGCCAGGTTCCTCTCTGTTGGAGTGGGTGTTTCCAGACAGGGAAGAGGAGGAAGCATGGGTAATAGATGAGATTTGGAGACATCAGTGTGAACTTGGATTAGTTAATGTAAGCACAGCTGGCTAGATGGAGACATGTTAAGGCATGTGTATATGCACACACACAGGGCAGTGTACACACATTTCCTCTCCCACCTGAGGGAACTAAAAGAAGCGGTGTCATGATAGCTAGGAAGTACAGTCCCCTCCCAGGCCTTTGATGCTGATTCCAGTCTCTAATATAAAGAACTACTGTGCTGAGAAATGGCTGCTTTCAGGAATGGGCAAGGAATGTGTGAGTTCAGAGAGTAAGTACTGTAGTGCCAGAAACCAAGGGCGTGCTGAACCTAAATATCCACATATACTCACACATGTGTTTAACTAACAGTGTAGAGGGACACTGGAGCTGTGGAGTGTGTGAAAACTCTGTATGTCCTCTCAATTTTTCTGCAGGTCTAAATTATTCTTTCAAAGGTCCCTAACATGCTGTACATGGTGGCACCTGCCTGTCATCCCAGTTCTTAGAGGCTTAAACTGGGGATTATTGTAAGCCTGAGGCTAGCCTAGCCTACCTAATACATAAATTCCAGGCTAGCCAAGGCTACATAGCAAGACTGTCTCAAAAATCA